ACATTGACCGATCCTCGGGAGTTTCCTAAACACCACTAAACAATGACCAGACCTATTTTTGGGAAAAGGAGTCCTAATCAAAGGTAATTCAAAAGCCTAACATTCATGATCTCCTACAAAGGATTTTGCACTAAATAAGATTCTATTCCTAAAAGCGATCAGACTCACCTCCAGGAGCTCTATATTAAAGAAGAAAACTCCTCAGTGCTAGTAATATCTCGTTTTTGTCTACTCTCTACATAGATTTACTCTCTCTCAAACTCAAAGCATCCAAGAATTGTGCCCAAGAATCAAGGAAGCCATCCATATAGTTTGAACAGTTTTACTTTCTAAACTCTTCATTCTTTTTCTTTCTTTTCATTATTGCGTCTTTAAATATGGATGGAATGATTCAAGTATGACTAAGTTTTATCTTAATTACTATGTCCAGCTAAACTTTTTACTAGGGATTGATGTAACTTAATTCCGGATTTCCAGTTTATAAATATTAATTTATTTTTCATTGTCTTGTTAAAACCTTATTATTGTGCTTAAGGCTATCCAGCAGAAAAGTTCCCCTGATGAGTAGTTCAATATCACTATCGGAGAAGTTTATTGACATGAAAAAATAATAAGTACTTAAGAATAATAAACTACGCGGAAAAGCTATATGGTTTGATCTCAGGGGGGTTTTTAATTATTGATTTAAGTTATGAACTCACAAAATACAATCCATAAAACCTAAGGATCTTATTATTTTTATCACTATTAAAAGATAGGTAATTAAACTGGATTTAGAATAGCTAACAATACATCGGGAGAGCTTGTTATTTAACTCTAGGTGTTTCTCCTACTTGAACAATTAAAGTTTGATTTAATTGAAACGTAATAGAATAAGCTGGATAGAATTAAGTGTGAATCAAAAATCCCTAGAGTTTAATTCTCTGATTTCTTTTCCACCTGAATTTGTCTTATCTCTTCTGTTTTTTACTTTAAATTATTCCTCGTATAGCGATTCTCCCCTTATCCATCGTCTAAATAATAATAGGTTAAAACATATTGAATTGATATACAATCCTTGGATACGATTACTCTCTTACTCTATATTACTTGTTGCTGATTTCGACATTGCAAAAATGCTTCAAGAAACATCCTCCGCTCTCTTAAACCTGCGTGATAAAAATCAACCCTGAGTGAAGACTCATGTGGCTAAATAACCAAACAATTAAAATAACAAGAATAGCCAAGGCAAAGTCTCGCAAATGCTTTAAAATTACTCATTATATAAGTAACGAAAATGCATTAATTTAATTAGAAAAACACTTTGAAAGCAATAAGAAATTTATAAATACAATATATGTTCATTCTTTAATTAAGGCTCGTACTAATACAAAATGAACATAAGCAAAATTATCGGGGCCTATTTTAGCGCCACCCCCCATCACACAATCGTGCCTATGAAACGCCACCCCATCACCACAAAATAAAGCGCGTCCGCCTATTAATAAGGCTGAACCCTAGCATTATGATCATAGCTTCACATAAACAAAATCAATCTCATCGATACCACATTGCTAATCAACATAGTAAGCCCAATCAAAATCATCTTTCCACAAAGAACTTATTACTTATTCAAAATTCTTAACAAAACACTCCATTACTTAGCTACCCATCATTTCAAAAATTTCTCAACTTACACCTTACAAAAATACCACATTTCTTTCGTTTTTGTTATTATTACTAAGAAATTTCAAGGAATATTCAAAAATATATTATATTATATATATATACTTAATATATATAAAAGTTACAATATCAAGAAATTTTCGGCTTTTCATAAAAAACTTGACCTTTGCTGGGTTTTCAGGGTATAACTGAAGTTGTAGGTCTCCAAAGTGAGTAAAATTTAATTCTTTAGAAAGCTAAAACGAAAATATACAAATGTCATGAAGAAACCACAGTCTAGATCAACCTCTAAGATACTGAAAATAAGCTCAAAACACAGACCAATAGCCCAGTCCTGATTCAACACATCCAACTCCATGTTTATTTAATCCCTACTTATCCGAGCACTCAATTTTGATAAATCCAAATCCAGTGATTGGTTAAGATATTTAGAAATACATTTCATGAAGGACTCAAGACCTAGTTTTATCATTTTAAGGGTCAAAGATGAGCAAAATTTCGGAAATACTGGTGGGCTGCCATGACAGAATCAGTGTTAGTAATAAAATCATAAATTGAGCTATAGGTATTCAAATTGGACAAAAGAGGATAATTTAGAAAGCTAAGAAGTAGAGCTACAACTTTTATGAAGAACATAAGACATTATTTTGCCATTTTAGTGGTCAAAATGGACAATCATATAACAATAAACACCAGAACAAACCCAGTTTTGGATTAAAATCATAAGTTAGCACAAGCATTGGAATTAAACATAAGAATATGTTTTGGAAAGCTGAGAAATAGAGCACAACTTTCATAAAGAAAGGAAATAGGGAAGTATAAAGGGGTGTTGAAAATGATTCCACCCACTCAGAACAAATCTAACATTTAAAATTCATCAATTTAACCAAAACATAAAAGTTCCAAATACTTTCAAAAAAACCTAACCATGTAAAAACAACTAAACAGTGAAAGGGAAAAGAATATGATGCCTAACCTTATTAACAAGCTGAATTAAGCTTGGAAAGCCTTACTCCTGACTTTCTCTTTACCTTTTTGAGGATGCGTTCTCCAAACCTCTTCCAAAGTAATGAGAAATCAACATAAAGCCAAAATTGACAAAAGAAATAGTTGGAGCATGATTTAATGCATCAATAACATGTCTAAACCATGAATTCTACTTATTAATTCACAAAACTCAAAAACCATAAGTTACTTGCTTCAATGGTAACTTCAATTCTCTTTGCTTTTAATCACCAATCTCAACTTCTACTACTTAATTCTTAAGAATTAAGTACTGTTCCATGGTTTAATTAGATAGCTTGGTGGTAATTTGGAGGTAAGAAAATGAAGAAAATGAAGGAAGAGGAAGAAGATGAAAATGGCGTTGGAGAAGGAGAAGAGAAGAAAGAGAAATTAGGGTATAACTTTTAAAGTGGACAAAATCAAAATTACTTCCTCATTGTAATGCCAAATGTGTGGCTAAGAATCAATCCTAAGTAATCTCATCCAATGGCTCTAAATATCCTCAATTATAAGTCTCTTCTACCTTATGATTCACTCCACCAATTAATTAAATTAAACTCCACTACAAGAATTCTCATTTATTTCTTAATATACCACACTAGAAATAATATCATTTATACATAAACTCTCCCAATAATATTATGAAATTATTTCTACCGAACTTAAATCATGCCAAACATACTCCAAAAAATAGTAGAATAAAAAGATAAAATAGTGCCATAGTAATTTTTCGGACAAATCATACCAAGTCCCGGACCGATGTACTATTCACAGGGACCGGTAAATCACTATTACCGACACTAAAAGAAATCTCAAGTCTGTTGCAGAGTCGATCTCATAAGTGTCTAAGACAAATGGGCCTAGCATTTTACTTTACATGTTGAGTTGTTGATATCGAAATCAGATGTTATGGCCAAAAGCAGTTCCATCCTCGATCATTATAAATAAGGAGCTAGCATATCACAGATAACTGCAATGGCGCAGAAAATCAGCATCGTGGAGGCTTTCAAGGGCATTGCCCATTTCCTGTGAAAGTGTGTTGCTCCAAAATTGGCCCTTGTTAAACTAAATTTCAAACTGCATGGATGTTGTAATGCATAGAGCAGTTCGTGGCTGTTGTGGATGACAAGGGTCTATATGGGAGGTGCAGCATGGTTTAATGGAAGGTGTCATGAACTCAAATATGGCTGAGTTGTTGAGTTCCGTAGGCCCTAACTAGTTAAAGATAAAGGTGTTGGAAGTTTGGAAGTTGAGTGGACTTGTCTGGTGTCATCCAAGCTTTTAAGAATTCTTATATTATATATTATTATTATATAAAAATTATATAAATAATAATATATAAATAATTTTATTTAAAAATAAATAATTAATATATTAATATAAAATAATATATATAAGAATTCTAAAATTTCCTATAAGAAATAAAATTATCTCTATATATAGAAAAATATATAAATAATATAAATAAGAATATAAATAATAAGAAATTTAATTTCTTTTTACTTTACTTTCTGATTGTTCCTGTTTTGGTATTTTGCTTAATGAGTGTAGAACTCTTCTTAATGAGTTCAGTGCTGTAGCTTTGCTATTTGCTAAAAAAATCAGTGATCCTTGTGCCCATTTATTGTCAAGGGCTAATTTTTTGTCTAGTTTGGTGGAGTGGGGTCCTCTCCCTCAAGCAATTATTCAGTATGTTTTGTTTCTTGATGCTCATCATTCTTTTTCGAAAAAAAAAAAAAAGAAAATCTCTTTGCGGACTTAAATTAATACTACCTAATATCTTATATTACTTTATATTTTCAAAATAACATAATATAAATATAAGAGTAAAATATACTTGGATTCCTAAATTATATGATAGTTCATACTTTCCTCTCTCTATTTTGAAAAATTACTTTCAAGTCGTTAATATAGAACTTTTCATCTAAAAAGTAAACATATTCCATTCAAAAAATGTATTTAACTAACTTTACGGTGCTGATTTTTTAGAGGGAAGGAGCCAATAAAGAATTTAAACAAAACTTAGAAACATCATGATAAGTTCTCGAAAATAAATGGACAAAAAATATTAATTAGAATATAGTTAAGTACAAACTGTATTTTACCCTAGATTTTAAACACATAACTTAAGGCTTATTTTCATCCATCGTCCCTCAAATATACTCTTTATTTTTTAATTGTCTTTATACTTCAATTCATCACTTAAAAATACATGAACTTTTATTGAAATAACTCAGGAGTCTTTTTACCAGTTTTCCAGTCAACTGCAGGTGAAAAGCTGACATGAAATTACTTAGTCAGCAAATAATTATTTTCAAAATGCCACATCATTTAATAATGTTATCTCCATTTTAATTTATTTCTCTTCTCTCCCATCTCTCCTCTACCCATCTCTTTCTCTCTCTTGCCAGAAAAAGTAAAACGCTGATCTCCAATCTGAGCTCATCTTCTCTCCTTGCTCTAGTTCATCTCTGTTCTTTTCAGATTTTTTAAAGCTATGAAACTAAAAATAGATTAGATAACATTAGCACAACTCCAAAACAAGTAGTAAATTATTTATGAAAAAAAGGAAAATAAAACCTTAGGAAAACCTACTTTAAAAAAGCTTTCTCCATACATAAAAAAAGTGATACCGAAGGGAGAAAAAATATTAGATAAAAATTACATAGGAAGAAGCTAAAGGTCACAAAAGAAATAACAAAGGCAAAATGGAAGCATAAACCACAATTATATGAAGTGGAAATCCACAGTATAATTTTTTTTATAATAATTATCTTTAATTTGAAAAACTAACCCAAAAAATTAAAAAAATTTGAAAATTACAAAAAAAAAAAAAATCAAAATCCTACCAAGCACCATGGTCATCCGTCTGATGGAGAAGATTTCATTTGAGAGCTCTAAAGATTGTAAGTTGTACCAAAAAGATTAATAAATTATGAAAAAATTGCACTGGAATTTGACATGAGGGCTTAATTTGATTTCAAATATATAGAGAGAACTACAAGATCTATGAAAACATAAAGATCAAGAAAGAGAGTGATACTGAATTTTTATATTTTTTTTAGAGAGAGAAATGGAGCGTAAATTTTCAGGATTAAATACTCTATAAGACACCATTAATGGAGGAGAAGATGTTTGGATCAGAAACAAGAGAGGATGAGAGAGAGAGAAGGGTTTGGTCGATGTTTGGTGGCTTGGCGTTGCTCCTTGACCATGAAATAACAAAAAAGAGAAGGGTTGGGTCGATTTTGTGGCTGCGTTGCTCCTTGACCATGAAATAAACAAAAAAAATGATGTTTGGTGCTATGGGGAGAGCTGTGATCACAATGAAATGGAAGGAGTAGCGGCCAAAGAAGAGAGAGGAAGAGGAAATTGAAAATACCAAAGGTGAGAGAAAAAAATTATAAAAAAATCTATTATGAAATTTTTTTTTGTTAAAAAACAGTAACATGTTAGCAAATTACTGCTGTAATGACCGATAATTAGTGAATAGACTATTTATATTTATTTAAATAGTAATTTAGAGTCGGGATTGCTTGCTGTTTACCGCATAATTAGTGAATAGACTATTATATTATTTAAATAGTAATTTAGGTATTTTTAAGTAAGGAATTGAAGTATATGGATAATTAAGAAATATGGGATATAATTCAGAAATAATGAGTGAAAATAAGCCCATAACTCAGAGGGAATCTATCACTTCACTTTGTTCAACCTTTTTGGTTTATTGGTTTAACATGTTGGTCATGTCTGTGCATATATTTAATACACAAGTGGAACTTTTAAATTTGCAAAATGTATATTTTGGACCATATAATTTTTTTAAAAAATCTTATGACTCTTTATATTTTGCGAGGTACTATAAGGTACCTCTATTTATTTTTTTCGTATTTAATAAGTACTTATCCTAGGCAAATGAAGCGTGTGCAACTCAAATCCTCTTATCTGGAAAAATATAATGACATGTCAGAAACAGAGAGAAACACATCATACGCCACATCATACATTGCCATCTCCTCCTTCCTCCTCTTCCGTCTTGCTTTCAAAACCCATCAAATTGAGAGAAAGAAAAAACAAACCTACTTTTGCTTTCTAAAAGTATTTTAATTATGTTTAGAGCACAAAATCAGAGAAGAGCAGAACTTGATTTACTAGAAAAAGAAAGTTAAACCAGAAAATCAAGAAAATAAGAAAATGGGTTGTTGGTCGCAAGATCCCTGCATATTAATCCTAATGTCATTTACAGGTATATACAATAATTGAATTGCTAATGAAATGTTGGGACATAGAGAAATGATTTAACACAACATGATTTTCAGGGGATAAAAAAGAAAAGATCAATCATTCCATAGTGAAGGTAAAAAAAGAAAAAAAAAAAAGGTTAAGTTCAATGTAAGAAAACAGTAACACTCAATTCAATCCTAAGTTTCTTACAGCATAAAAAAGAGATAGCATTCTGTTTTTCCGTTCTCTGCCTTAGCAAATCAAAATCACAATTTACCAATAATAAAAATCAAAATCCTACAAACTTAGCTTTGCCTATTTAAGAACAAAAATTTATAGTTCCAAAAACAAACCAAACAAGAAGACCTCAAACCAGTCACCATCACTGCATAAACAATCAAAATCACCTCCTTCTTTGATCTGCCGCATACTCTGACAAAGGCACAACCTCCGACAACAGTGTTGAAAGAGAAGTCGGAAGCGGCGAATTTCGACAAATCGTGCACGACCCGTTAAGCTTTAGCCAAGCAACATAAGTGAAAAAAATGTATGCACTCAGGCATCATTCGTAGCATCTCCAAATCTTTATACTCGCATAAACAGATCGAACAAGTAGTATTATTTCCATTTGAACTCCCATCCTTAGTGACTGAAATTTCATATACGAATTTATTACCGCTTGGTCAAGCCCAACGGCAAAGGTTTCTAGGTCACATTCTTGGTCATCCTCATCTTCAGCAACAAATATAATGCGAGAAAGAAGTATACCATTGGGAACAGAACATGAGGAGAAATGGGAAGAGGTGACAATATGGCAATTAAACAAGCTTTCACTCTCTTCATACTAGCGTGGATACTCACGCATTAATTCCAACGTGGCGAGGTACTTATTAAATATGAACAAAATAAATAGAGGTACTTTATAAAACCCCGTTAAAGTATAAGAGGCCACAAGATTTTTTTAAAAAAATACAAGATATATATTTTGACTCTTTTAAATTGTTGATTGTATGTACTCTCACTAATTAAATATTTGGTATATATATATATAAACGCACTAGTGACCTTTTCAATTGTTTGTTAAACTTTATTATTAACTTGTTGTAAATTCTTCTGACTGTATTTGATTTTTTGAATTTAAAATTTATCATTCCAAAAACAACTCAATAATTTTGAGAGGTTGTGCATTAATTAATTTAATCCGCACTATATTTTAAAAATACTTAAATCAAAATAGCCCAATTCAATAGAAAATAAATCAAATATTATTTAATTTTGTCAAATATTCCTTTCGTCTCATTTTGCTTGCATGATTTGATAAAACACACATATTAAGAATTTAGTTAATAGAAATTATTTTGCCTTTTTTTACCCTTTAACTCATTAAAATGTTAATAAAAATTTTTCATTTAATAAAGAATCATAAAAATTATTATAAAAAATAATTATATAAATATAATAAATATTTAAGACATTTAAAATATAATAATAATAATAAAATAGAATTGATGGAGTATATTTATTGAATTTCTGTCTGCGAGTTACCGTGTATAAGATTTTTTGATAATAATAATAATAATAAATGAATGTTATTACTAACGGTCTGCGTTCAGGATGGAGAAAAAATAAAAAAAGGAAAAAGGGAAGGAAAGAAATGAGAGGAATCTGGGAGAACACAGGAAAAGGATGAAGAGAGATTTACAAGAGGAAGGATATGGAGCTTGGAACGATTCAGCCAATTCATATTTGATCTATAATGAAGAAATAATAAATGACTAAAACAACAATGTTTGTGTGGGTGCAAGCAGCTAATATCAAGATCCTAGTACAATGTTTCAAATGCAGCTTCTTCCTCCATCAAAGCTGTGCAAGCTACCTAGAGAGATCAACCATCCTCACAGGAAACACCCTCTCACTCTCTTAATGGTCCAGCCATATTCTCAAGACGGCGTTTGTAATCTTGCAGTAATCTTTAAAACAAACATGTCTACAATTGTTCTCTTCCAATTCGATCCGACATCATTGTTGCCTTTAAGGCCATGTGTTTCTGGTACAACCCTACAGTAATTACGAGCATCAAATTCTTCACTTTTAAGTCAATTAATTGCACTGTGAATGCTTGTTGGGAACGAATGGACTCGATCTCCTATAATCTGATTATGTGTCAAATTATGGTTCATAAAGAATGCATTTCACAACCTAAAGCTATTAGAATTAACAGAGCATAAAACCCACTTCTATTTCCTTCAGAATAGTGAATCCACAGATCAATCTTGTGGAATTTGTCAAATTGAAATGAACTTAGACCATGGTGGTTATTATTGTTCTCTCTGCGATTATGTTGTTCATGTCGATTGCGCAAGCACACATTTAATTGGGGTTGAAGATGAAACTCACAAACTTGGTACTGATACGCTTGGAGATTTATCTATAAAATCAACTAGTGATGATGATGCAGACGAACAACTAGTTACAGAGAACAAACAGTTTAGTCATGAACATGGGTTGGCCATTATTGATCAGGTTAACAACAAGAAACGTTGTGTTGGGTGTATGTTACCATTATCGTCTGCTTCAATAACCTATGGTTGTCTACAATGTGACATGTTTCTGCACAAGGATGCTCTGAATTGTCTACTAAGATAAAACACCCACTTCACCGGCACTCGCTTACTCTTCTCTTAAAAGCATATAGCTTTGATGGGTTGTTCAAATGTAATGCTTGTGAGCAATATTGCCATGGATTTTCCTACCATTGTGAGAAATGTGATTTCTACCTTGATATTAGATGTTCTGCTATTATATCAACAACTCTTTCCATGACCACCTTCTTCGCTCTAGTACTCAGCAAAGAAGCTATAGCTGTCATTGGCAGTGCTGCATTGTGAAGATTGCAACTTCTGTTTAGACTTGAAATGTGCTACTCTACCAATCTCAGTTAGACACAGATTTGATGAGAAGCATCCTCTTAAGCTTACATATGATTTTGTTAGCGACAGGTCGTTTGACCATTACTGTGAGGTATGCGAGATGAGAATAGACCCTGGGACTTATGTCTTCAACTATGCACCCTGGTTTTATGGGTGTAAAGAATGTGACATTTCTATTCACCCTGAATGTGTTCTTGGAAGGTACCCATATATCAAGTTTGACAGAAGTAGTGCTTATTCACTTAGTGGAATCCATTCACATGGTCTCACTTTAGTCCAGAAACCTTTTCAAAGGAAGAGAAAGTTCTACCCGCCCATGTATGACGCGCTTGAGCCTTTTGACGTAGACTTGGCTCTGCAGGCAGCAGTGTAATTTCATCATCCACCAAAGCTTCTTTTTATCCCAAAAACGTGCAACATAAAACTGAGAAACAACTTTGTATTATGAAGTTACTGAAAGTCTTCGTATAACAAGTTCTTGTTCTATGTACCCAAGAGTTTATTTAATATCTGATAAATGAGATGTAGCTTATAAGCAACATATATTCCAATTATATTTCAAAAAAAAAGCAAGAAACAAACAAAGACAGCCACGTTACATTACATATTACGGCTGTGTCCAGAGATGGAACTGTAACATAAGACATTACAGTGACTTATTGAGGATGAAAGGGGAAAAAAAAAGAAAAAAGATCTGGTACCAAAACGGTGTCGGATACTCGTGATAATCACACGTCAGGTACTTCCTCCTTGACCACAAAATTGAAACCAAAGTAATTGCAACCGACATAAACACTGTCGTCTTAATGGAATCATCGGAGGGTCCTCACGAATTATATGTTGAGATTTGTCTATTAAGAGATAGATTTGTTTTTTGTATTTATAGAATGTATATCTTTAGAATATCTGATATACTTGATTTGTGTAATCCTCCTTCTTTTACGTTGTTTATCTCCTATAGTTTAGGAACTGATGTATTATATATTAGAGAGATCATTCCTTGTAACAGATAAGTTGATCCTTGTAACAGATAAGTTGATATTGAATGAAATTGTGAAATTCAACGTG